GACTCCCTCTTTCTTTTGTATTTAGTCAGTGCTGGCAGGCAGGGGCAGAGGACTGGATGGCTTCATCAAAGGCGCTTATTTATCAAGTGGGAATTTAATTGTAAGAATTCAGGGGAAATCAATGGAGATTGGCAGTGCCTCAACGTTTCATGGATTTTCGGTGGAGCTAGTTTGTCCCTGTTCAAAACAAGCAGTCCTGCATGGGGAGGCTCTCCTTCATAGTGACTCTTTCCACTTGTCCATTTGTGGCCCTGCCATCTTCAGTAGGCTTCTAAAGCTGTCCCAGGATCAGTCTCCAGTCAGTACACCTCGCCATCTTCAGAAGTGTGGCTCTGTGGAATGCCTCCAAAGCAGGAGCCGGTCCTTCCTTTGGCTGAATTTGCCACCCCTTATTTCTTTAAACAATATCTCACTCTCCTTGATATGGTTTGTCTATGTCCCTACCCAAACCTCATCTTGAATTGTAGTTTCCATAATCCCCAAGGGAAGGACCTGGTGGGAGGTAATTGAATCATGGGGGTAGTTCTTGTGATAAGTGAGTTCTCACAAGATCTGATGGTTTTATAAGGAGGTTTTCCCCCTTTTGCTCGGCACTTCATGTTGCTGCCTCCATGTGAAGAAGGACGTATTTGCTTCTCCTTCTGCCATGATTGTAAGTCTCCTGAGGCCTCCCCAGCCATGCTGACCTGTGAGTCAATTAAACCTCTCTCCTTTATAAACTGCTCAGTCCGTTATGTCTTTATTAGCAGTGTGAGAACGGACTCATACACTCCAAGTGTCTCTGAAAGACCCAGGCCCAGAGATTCACTGTCCCTCCCCAAGGACTCTGCATTGAGTGCCTTGTCCCCGGTATCTTTACCTATGAGGGAAATGAAATACCTTTGATGGAGACTGGGCTGGGGCTCTGAAGGGCACCAGGGTTTGGGCTGCAAGGGTCCTGCTTCCAGGAGTCACTGTTTGTTTCTCATTTTTGAGTCAGAAAAAGGTCCCTGGGAGTCTGTGCATAGGCTCTACCTTCTCAGGTTTTTCCGTCTCTGAAGACATGACTGCCCATGAGAAGTATTTAAAAGAATGAACATTAAGTATTAACTCGTTTAGCTCTCATATGAGATAAGGTGATGTAATCATAATGGCTCTTAATTTCAGAATGTAAGCATAAAGCCATATGTTTAACATACACACAAACAGTATATGTATACACACATACTTAAATGATGTATGCGTATGTGTGTGTACTTAGTAAGCAGTGAATAAACACGAGCTAAATGATGAAGCTAGTCCTAACCTGTTTTTGAAGAATTGGCAGTTACAGAGAGGATGATATAATTTTAAAAAATTTAATGGAGACACAGCTATATAGATATCAATCTTTTGAGTGTTTTTTTTTTTTTTTTTAGAAATGGAAAGTGTTGGTTGCATAACTCCTTTCATCTGTAATGTGTCTTAGCAATTTAATTTTTGGCTTGCAGCTGGTTTGGAAAAGTTGTAGTTGTCATGGTTGTATACTTTAATGTGCTTCCTTCTAGTGATAAGTGGGGTTAGGGAAAGTGTTTTGCATGCAGTAGATGCTTAATAAGTATTTGTTGATAAAATAAATGAGTAATATTGGAATAGAGATCAGCACGCAGTAGGTCACGATGGTTTTATTATTTCATTCACTCATTCACTTATTTACTTCACACAAAAAAACTGATCTCCTACCATACACCAGGCATGACTCTAGACACTGGAGGTACATCAGTGAATGAGACAAAATTTTCACCTTTAAGGATTACATTTTTTTTTTTTTTTTGAGATGGAGTTTCGCTCTTGTTACCCAGGCTGAGTGCAATGGTGCGATCTCACTGCAACCTCCGCCTCCTGGGTTCAAGCAATTCTCCTGCCTCAGCCTCCCGAGTAGCTGGGACTACAGGCACACGCCACCATGCCCAGCTAATTTTTGTATTTTTAGTAGAGACAGGGTTTCACCATGTTGACCAGGATGGCCTCGATCTCTTGACCTCGTGATACACACACCTTTGCCTCCCAAAGTGCTGGGATTATAGGCGTGAGCCACCGTGCCCAGCCAAGGATTACATTTTAAAAGGGGCAGCAGGACATAAATCAACAGGAAGATATTCAGAAATGGTAAGCTATGAGGGGACATAAGCCCAGTGAGATTTGAACCAGGGAGGAAAGGCCACTGGGCTGGAGCTGGAGCTGTTGAGTTACAGCCTAGGCCAGAAGCACAGTGCTGAAGCCTGAAGAGGGCAGAAAAAAAATATCTCAACCACTTGCTTCTACCCTCTGACCTCCTTCTGATGCCTCCTATTAGATGAATAAAATGTGTGGCCAAAGAGCCTGAGTCTGGATGATGTAGGCCCTAGGGGAGAGTTTCTCAGAGCACAGAGCAGGGCAGAGAAAGACAGAATATGATCAGGGGCATGAGGCTGGGAAATAAAAGGAGAATAACTTGAATCTTTCATGGAGTCAATCCAAAAATGTTTACCACTTCTAAGCTCCTTGGGGGCAAGCACTGAGTTGGATTTACCTCTCTCCCCCACAAGACCTAGGGAGCACAGAGCTTGGTAAAAAGTAAATGCTTGTTAATTTAGCTGCACTTTGTAGGATCGGCTCTGCTTGACTAAATGAATGTGCTTCTGGCATCAGAGTCACCTGAAGATTCTAGTTCTGTATTGACCCTAGGGAAATGCAGTATCTTGTTCACAATGGTATTCCAGCAGCATGCTTGGTGTGTGATTATGTCTATTGAACATTTGTTAAACAGCAAACAATTCTTTTGGCATACAGAACTTTCTTTGCTACTCATATGCAGAATTGTAATGAAATAAAGCATTTTTCAGTTTGGAATTCTGCAATAAATGGAAAGGTTTCATTAAAATTATGGAGTAAAACTTGAGAGACAGATTACCACTATTTAGCTTCCTTCCCCCTCTTTCTTTCAGGAATCTCTTCTGATAATGGGGATGACAAACAGATGCATGCATGTGTGTTCTCTTTTAGACTCTCCATGTGGTCACATTCTCCCCAAACTGTCACGTATTGGGAACCTACTATTATGGTTAGAGTGGCAGGAATTAAGTCACTGATGTGTAATTTTCACTCAACATTCTTTTAGAAGAGGTGAGATCAAGAAGAATTAAGAAGATTTCAGAAATAGAAGAACAAGGAAACCCAGGGAGGGAAGGGTGAGGAGGGTAATTCTTAATGTTAAATGGGTTTATTTGATATTTGGTGGGAACCAGATTTGTACAAACACTCAAGGCTTGCAGAATACATTTAATACATGCTCTTGACCTGTAAGGGCACTGAATTGAGAACAGGCTACAAGAGTTGTCTGGGCTTGTTCTTCAGAAGGAAAAAGGCAAGGTGTAATAGGGGAGCTGAGTACATGTCTTATGACCCAGGAAAGGAGAGCATTGCTGTGGTGTGATCAGAGCCACAGCAGTGTGGCTGAGGGGAGGCAGTCAAGGAAACCACACTTAACCTCTGACTTCTGAATAGTCAGGGCTAAGCTAGACCAGAGTTGGGCTTTTCTTTGAGTTTACAAAGCAAGTCTCTACTGATATTTTCTACCTTTTTCTTTCACTAGTCTTCAAGTTGTTGAAACATTTTTTCAATTACTTGTCATTTGCTGTTGTTTTGTCCAGGTGATTCATCATGAAAACTAAGTAGAGAAAAAAACAAACACCCCAATCATCGAGAAAGAATATTTCAAAACTGTCCATATTTAGTCATTGACTAAGCTCTTCCCAGTTTGGCTGGGAAGCTCCTTACTGCTTTGATAACCAGGTGTGAAGATGACTAGCCATTCATTGTGCAGAGACAATGCTATATGAAAACTTTACTTTTCCTTTTGGACATGAAGGCTTTTTTCTCAGCTCCCTTGCATCTAAGTAGACCAGATGGCTGTGGGCCTCCACCCCAACCCAGCAGCACCCACTGGGCTATAGCAAGCCAACAGATCACAGAAGCCCTTGAGGGGACATGTACTCAGATCCCCTATTACACCTTGCCTTTTTCCTTCTGAACAAGCCCAGACAACTCTTCCACTCCTATCCTCTTTTCTTGGTCTCTTTTTCCATTTTCCTTCATTTCTTTAAAAAGGAGAGCAAAGCCATTTCAGCAGAAGAGAGGCTGGGGCCAGGGTCCACATGGAGTTTGGTTGCAGGGGTGTGGCACCCTTTCCTGCCAGAAAAAGAGAGGGGGAGAATTGATGTAGATCAGGTCTATACCTGGCCTAGCAGAAATAAATCCTGCTTAGTTTCCCACTGTAATTGAGAGTGGAGATATCCCCAAGACGGTCGTGAGAGGGCGTACACATCTATGGGGAAGCTTGGAGTAACGTGGGAGTTTAAAGAAAATGCAAAGAAACTCTGGGGCATCCGGCCAGTATGCTCAAAACTGGGAATGTGGCACCAGTTGTTTTGTGTTTGAGGCTAGTCTAGTCTATTTATATATTTACAGGGCTTGGAGAAGTTTACAAAAAGTAATCCTGCAGTGTAGAATTTCCTAGATGTGATGGTCTCAACTGAATGTTATTGTTTAAGTACTAAATTAGATCAAAGGCTGAGCATCTTATGTTGGTTACATTTTACCTGCCCATTTGGAGGAGTAAGGTGGAAGAGAAAGGCTGTGAGGGCTGGTCTACACAACAATGAGATTTTATTTCCTAAAATGTTTTGTTGCAAATGATGGTGCACCTGTGACAAGCTGGCTATGGTCAGGGTGGAAACAGGAAGAGAAACCACACTTAACCTATGACTTCTAAATAGTCAGGGCTAAGCTAAACCAGAGTTGGGCTTTTCTTTGAGTTTACAAAGCAAGTCTCTACTGATATTTCATAACCTTTTCTTTCACTAGTCTTCAAGCTGTTGAAACACTTTTTCAATTACTTGTCATTTGCTGTTGTTTTGTTTAGGTGAATCATCATGAAAACTAGGTAGAGAAAAAAACAAACACCCCAATCACCGAGAAAGAATATTTCAAAACTGTCCATATTTAGTCATTGACTAAGCTCTTACTGAATACAGCTTTACTGAGAGTGATGAGATTACAAAATAACACTACATACATTTTAGTTTGTTGCTCCTTATATAGTACCAGAATGTTTTAAGCAAACAAAGAAACTTTTTTGCCAAAATTTGCTGAATAAATAAAAAGTTTTTAAAGAATATCCAAGAGAAGTAATTTATTTCAAATTCCCTGAGAGGGCAAATTAAATGGTCTTTACCCAATGAATTGTGCTGGAGGGTAAATCTTTATTATTTTAGAGAGTTTAGTTCTCAAAATTAGCAATAGAGAGAGGACTCTGGAAAATTATTCTGTAGGTTTTATTGACATGAAAAGAAATACTGAAAAGTAATTCCTTTTAATGCTGCCTTTGCTGGAGAACATATTCATCAGTGGCTGGAATAGGGATCTAACTCATTGAGAGATTACATAAATTCATTTGGTTGTAACTAAGGGAAAAAATTAATGAGGTAATTTGAGTTTTTTTCATCTAGTAAATTGGATGAATTCTGAAGAGACTTGGCCAGGATAACCAGCAAAAAAATAAAACAAAAAATTGACCTTTTAGCATGTGCATATTTCCTGCTAAACCTCTATTTCCATGCATGTTGTAAAATACACTTACTGTAACTGCTGCTCTACGTTAAATCATACAACCATTCAGTACTCACTTCCTTATGAGTGAGTACTCAATTACACTCATAACACTCCACTACCATCTAATCATGTTTTAAAATTATATGAATCTGTACCATCACTCACCTTCTATTCAAAACCATTCTTACAACATAGGAAGTAAAAATAAAGTTCATTCAGCGCACTGAAAGCAGCCAGTGCATCAGGGATGACAACTTGGCACCAAGAACCTAACTAAAAATGGACAAACTATGTTAAAGTTTGGCTTCCTAGAGACTTTCTCAGCAGGTTTCTGGCCCATTCAGAAAAGGAGAGCTTGAATTTTATTATTTCAGCTGCTGGGTTACATGCTATTTCTCTGATACATTGAACTGATACTTTATTTGATTACAGGACTCAGACATTACAAAAATAACAAGTCCTTTTCTTTAACAAAAAAAAAAAAAAAAGGAAGTATATGCTTGGATCCTAAGACTTGGGAGTGTAATTGAATATACGCTTAAAACATACTAAAAGTTTTCTGCTTGGGAAATCTGGAGAAACAAGGTTTCTAGGAGCAACTGCTTCAATAGTTGGTTTATCGAATATGTTTCCCTGACACATGAAAAAGGACACACATTATTTTGATTCTGCATACTTTTATCTATTTCAGTTGGCAATGCAAGATGTTCTAGGATACGGAGCTTTCACCAACCCTTATGATGCATACTCCTCACCATTGTATTATGTCAGAGATTCTGACATTCCGAATTCATATTGGTCTTTATTTTCCTAACTGTTGAAGCAGAAGATAGAACAGCAATGCATCCAGGAATCTGGTAAGCTCAAATACGTGGTTTTCTGAGTCTTTAAACACTTCAGAAAATAAATTATAATTTCAAATGATTTGTCCAGCTCTAACATGTCTCCGGTTTCATCCCTAGAAAGCCATTGCCATGTTTTTGCACAACCTATTTTATCAAGCTTTGACAGAAGAAAAACCCTGTAGTCTCAGTATCTCTTCTCAGTATTCCATCATGTAATGTTACAATTGGTTGATTCTCATTTATTTCAAGCCCTAGGTCCTCCTCTTCATATAATACTTCTAAAACATCAATGAGAACACATCTATTAGTATGCATCAAGGAATTATGTCTATTTGCCCACTTATGATGTATAACCCACAATGAGACACCTTTTTCTCTAAAAATTAGCCATACACTATATGCTTCTCAGTTGTATAAGTGTGTGTATATACACACGTATACATACACCAAGGTAATATACTACATCCACATATAGCAAGGTAAAAGATTCTTTGTGTGGGATAAGAAACAGCCCAGTGTTTTTACATTAGTAATGTCTTGTTCTTAATTTACAGCATTTGTAGCCCTTACTTGAGTGTTACCATTAAATACTCAGAGATTAAACTTTTCATAAGGGGCAATGATATAAAATTGTTCCACAAAGGGTACTATATGAACCACTTTTCACAGTTCAAATAAAATATTTTAGAAATAAATATCATAACTCTAGCAATAACCTATCTACACAAGGTGGAGAGGGTGAGATTAATGAAAACCAAATGTTATTTCCATATATCTCATGTTCAATTTCTAAATAGCTTGTTTTATTTTTCAAAATCCAATTGCACATAACCCAGGATAGGCCACTTCCTCTCCAAAACAGTCAACGAATGAAGTGATAAATTATAAGAAAGGAAAATATATATCATTTACTACAGTCATTCCCTTTCTGCAAAACTTGGCAAACATGTAAGAAAAATGCTATCAAGTGGATACACTTTGGTTTATAAAGCTAATTTTGAGCAGATGAGATTAATAAAAATAGGGCAGAATTAGCATATATTTTTATATATGTGAGATGCATATTTGATTTTTACTTAAGAAATCAGGAAGATCCATATGAAATGGGAAATGATGGCATTTACTAACAGGAGAACCCATTCATCCAGTTTCTGCCAAATCTACGAATTCCAAATATTTCTTTCATTACTGTCACATAAAAGATGGGGGCAAATCGAATTATTGTTCTTGGTAGTATAAACTTCAGGCTATCTAAGCTTCAGGCTAATGGTCCTTAGGGACATAGTTTTATTTGGTGATCTTCCCAGGGCATACATTAGGGCCAAGGTTGCCTTTCAACAGGTTGGTGCAGCCTTTAGGGTGAGGGTAAGGCTCCCAGGGTACTTGAAATTCTTCTTTAAAAGAGGACAAGGGATAAAATGCAAATCCTTCCAGTTGAAACAACCAAATGACTTAAATTTACACTATAAATTAAATGACTAATATCGATTCCTTCATTGAAAGCAGGATTATGGCAGAAAATACACTGGGGCCTGAGGTATGGAAGAAGAGGAATGCTGGCTAACACAAAGGTTATTAACTTTACAGTCCCTGGGGGGAATCCTTATTCCTTTTCAGTCAGATTTTGTTTTAAGCTTTATTACGTTGTCATGGGATATCTTTCAAAATCCTCTACTCAATCAAGTATGGGGGGGGGAATTGCGTTGAAATACAGAATTAAATCTTAAGTCTTTACGGATATCGATGATTTTCATTTTTAAATAAAACAAATCTATACGAATATCTTCAATTTCGTAAAGAAAAAAGGAGAGAGAGAAAAATAAACTTTTGAACATGAAATCACTCACATAAACCTCAAGTGTACTAACGTGTAGAGGAAAAAAATCTCAAATGTGGGTGTAACCGCTATACTTTCAGGAAACATGCCGCCTTGGAAGAGTGCCTGTAACGAATTCCGTCTGCCACCCAGTGGCCACTGAAATAAATTTGTTTTGTTGGCTATGGCCCTGGATTTTGCTAAGAAAAAAAAAAAAAAGAAGACACAGAGGTAGATTATGCCATATCAGGAATTTAAAGCCATCAAGACATGTGCCTTGACATATTTTACCATACAATCAGTGTAGTAAATGTTAAATATTTTCCTTTTCGCGAACTCAAAGGTTAACCACGTGGCTCTATAAATAAATAACGTGTTCTTCCGGCGTCCCCGCAGCTACCTGGGCTCAGATACTGACTGGCACGGAAGACACCGAACTGGCCCGGGATTCCCGAGTCACGCTGTTGGGCATCGAGAGGGTGCAGCAGGACACGCCGACGGTGGCCTCGGGTAGCTCGTCGTCCTCCGTCCACTCGTTGAGCTCGGGGCTGAAGCACTGGATGCACTTCTTGTACTTCTTCTCGCCCTCGTTCCAGCCCCCCACCAGGTAGGCGCGGCCGTGCAGCGCCGAGGCTCCCGCCGTGCTCACCCCCACCTGCAGCGGCGCCGCGTAGCTCCACTGGCCGGTCGCGGGGCTGTAGCACTCCACTGTCAGCACGTCCACGCGCTCCCCGCGCGGCCCTACCTGGCTGCCGCCCATCACGTACACTCTGTCGCCCAGCGTGATCGCGCAGTGCCAGCCCCGGGGTGTGCTCAGGCTCGGCAGCTCCTGCCACGAGTCGCTGGCCGGGTCGTAGGCGCACACGGAGCGCGAGTAGGCGTTGGCGATGTAGCCGCCGGTCACTAGCACGCGGCCGTCGGCGACCGCGCCCGCGTGGCAGCAGCGCGCCACCTCCAGGGGCGTCTTGGGCTGCCACTGATTGGTGGAGGGCACGTAGCACTCCAGCGAGGCCAGGCTGCCTTCTGCGTTGCGGCCGCCCGCGGCGTACAGGAGCCCGTTGAACACGCTCAGGCTGAAGTGCGTGCGCTTCTGGTTCATGCTGGCCAGGTGTATCCAGGTGTTGAAGCGGGGATCGTATCTGGAAATGGCAGAGGAGGTGTGACAGCCTTGGCGGCGGCAGCTGGGGAACCCCTGTTACTCTGCAAACCACGAGTGGGAAGCCTGACACTGCTCCTGCAAGGAGGCGAGGGACCTGGCCCAGCTCCTCACCTGGAGGCTGGCGTTTCTCGCTCAGCCAGTAAAAATGTGTGACACTTGGAAAAGGCAAAGCCGGCATTGACTCCCTCTCGCCCCCGCCCCTCCTCCGTTTATAAGATCACTCCCTTTATGGGGCCACTTGGAGAAGAGCCCAGAGACTGAACTTTCAGTCCTTCTTTCCCCCATATTCAAATATCTATCATCCAGTGGGATTTACGAGATGCGGCTTTTATGGCGATCCGAGGTGGGCACCGCCATATTAAAGTCAATTCTGCATATCTTCAGATTCCAGCCATTTCTAGCTGCCTCTCACTGTTTAAGATACAAATTGACTGACTGGATTTCTCCACTTCTCACAAACCCCTTATTCCTACACCTATCCTGGCCATTGCGACAGTAAAGCCAAGCCACTCCACCACATCTTCTCTTGTCTGTTAGACTGAGATCAATGGAACTCATGCCTAAAAGCATCAACAAAGGCTTAACTTCGTATACTTTTCTATTTTTCAGCACTTATAAAGAAGACTTTTTAGTTTAGGGATAAATATATATATATTTTTCAGTGCTTGGAACTATCCATGTATAAGCATTGAAATTGATTTCGACTTAAGTACTAACAGGTGTCTTTTCAGCAGGAAGAAAACAAGCATAGTGAACTGATCCTTTCCTGTTGACGTAGTTTAGAAGTATTGTAAATACGGAACTCACTCCTTCAGTCTGATGTTCAGCTTTGTCCCATTTAACTCCCAAATTAAACTTAACTGTACTTACAAATTAAACACTAAAAATTTGTTAATTGGGTTATTTTAAATGCATATACACAATGGAATAATAAAGAATATTTTTCATGAAATACTACACAAATTTTCAGATCTTGCTCATTAGTTATGTTTGACTTTATACTACTACCATGATATAAGTATGACTTTCTGAACATTTCATATAATGGAAGTTCAATTTTTATCATAAATATATAAAATAATATGGGATTTGAATTCCATTTTTTTGAAGGATGTGTTATGCTTTTACTCTTTCTATGTGTGTCAAAAATACACATTTTCTGTTATTCAGTTTTCAAATAAGTATTTTAAATTAATTAGCTACCACAATTTTAATGATCTCATTCTATTTGCCAGTTACGAATTTGACAGTTGTCAGTAGCAGTCACTTAAAATAAATTTTTCATTATTTTATTCTTTCTTACTACTTAGTGTTAAAAACTAAATTTGTACTTAATTTCTGTCAAACGTCAGTGTATTGTGAAGAGTACTCAACCAGAAATGAGCAAATGTGAATTGCTGCTTACTGCTTTTATAATTTCCCTGGGTATCAGGTTTCTCATATATAAAATCAGAATAATCATATCTTCCCCGCCCACTTCACAGGCTTGTTTCAGAAATCTATAGTGCATAATAATAATAGTGCACTATTAATATAGTGCACTTATAAAGTGCTGAACATACATAAGGTGGCATTTTTATTATTGTTGATTTAGTGAGCCAATGATCTAAGCTAATAAGCATGATTAATTTACTTCTATATTAGAGCTATTTCCCTATAATATTGAACCATTTCAGTTCCTAATAAAAGATCAAGTACCTGCAGAAATTGCTGACTGCATGCTTGGCTTGATTTCTTGCGTCATTCTGGTCTTCACCACCGGCTACATAAAGAAATCCATCCATCACAGCCACACACTGATTAAAACTTTTGGATGGCATTTCCGTAAGCTTGCTCCATCCATTTTCAGGGTCTCTATACAAGATGTCTCTGCTAAGGGACTTCTCTGTAAGGCCTGGACGTCCCCCAACAGTGACGAGGACTCGGCAGCCACCTCGGATTCTTGTTCGCCTGGATTGCAATGTGTTCTGATGATATGGAAGCAAGTGGTAGTTCATAGCATCTACGAGAAGTTTGTGACAATCAGCATCTTGCATCATTCTTGGTACAGACTGCACATAATTGACCAGGTCTTGTGCGGAGATGGTACCAAAGCGAATATTGCTCAAAAGATCTGCAGCATATTTTACTCTCTTTTGGTCAAATTCTAGCCATTTCATTGCAATCTGGAATGCTACTATCTCAGAAGGCAACTGTAAGTCATCATCTATAAGAAGTTCATTAATTTGTTCAAATGTAAGTTTCATAAACTGATCTGATTCTGCAAATTCAAGGAAGTTATCCCGAATAAATTTCTGTGCTGCTGCTTTTGCATTTTTCAGGGAGTATGTTTCAGCAATATTAACTACATACATGCAATTCTCAACACTCATCTCCCGTATCAGAAAATCACTGCACATCTTTACAAGAGTGTGGATCTGAAGGTAAACAGCAGCAGAAATAATGCTTCCTATTGTATACAAGGAGAGAGTGAGCTTTCCAGTGTAGGCATACGCAATGACAGTGGCCAGGCCTAGCGGTGAGATATCATTGAGATCCACCCTCTGAGTTGACGGGTCTTTTTTTAGGATGTTGTAAAAGTACTCACTGCATGAAGCCATCACTGACTTATGAACATCAAAGGATTTGGTTTTGGTACCAATGACTAAGTCACATAGGAAGTTCTCTTGTCGCATTTTACTTAAACCTTCCAATAGGTTGGGGCCATAACACGCATCTGTTAGTTCAGAAGAAATGCAGCTAAGGCCATTGCCTCCCTCTAGTAGCCCATTCAAAGCATTCAGTTTGTTTAGGGGGCTATCTTCTAGGATTATAGTCATCTCATTGATATCGCCTTTGTTCTTTTTGACAATCTTCTTTTTGGGTGCCATGTTGGCAAATACACTGTCACAGGCAAGAGCTTGCTAAAAAAAGAAAAAAAATGGCATGGTTTTAATTATGCTTTAGATTTTGAAATACTACACTAAGAAACTTTTCTTTTTCATAATAGTTTATATGGCATAAAATAGATTAATTTTCAAAAATAGATTTAAAGACATATTAAAGTAGATGCACATTTTACAGTTAACTTCAGCAAGAAGCATTGAAGACAATTCTAGAAAGATTGATGTTATCAAATGAGACCTCTCCATCACTGTATTGCCAAGTAATTATACAGAAAAAGTGACCACATTTTCTTTTTTTCTCTTTCTTATTTTTTTTTTTTTTTCAAGACAGAGCCTCACTCTGTTGCCCAGGCTGGAATGCAGAGGCATGATCTTGGCTCACTGCAACTTCTGCCGCCGGGGCTCAAGTGATTCTCCTGCCTCAGTCTCCCGAGTAGCTGGGACTATAGGCGTGTACCACCATGCCCAGCTAATTTTTGTATTTTTAATAGAGATGGGGTTTCACCATGTTGGCCAGGCTGGTCTTGAACTCGTGGCCTCAAGTGATCTTTTTGCCTTGGCCTTCCAAAGTGTTGGGATTACAGATGTGAGCTGCTGCACCCAGCCAACATTTTCTGATTGAACTATATAGTAGGGTAGTAGTAAAATATAATTTAAAGGGCTTAGTTTACTCTCATGAAAAAGTGAATTATAAACACTCTGAAGGTTTTCCTCAGGAAAATATTAAAATTCAGGAATCCATGTGAAATGTAGAAAATATTATGGAAAGATGATTTTATTTGCTGTAGCAATAAAACCTGTTATATTTTAAGAGATATACATACTTGACTCGAATTTAGTGAGACATGTATGATAAATACTATAAGATTTTGCCAGAGAATTTAACAGAGAGGGACTCTACATTCCTATATGAAGAGATGGATGTCAATTCAGTGAAATTTTAGTTGCTACCTCTATATGATATTTTTTCTTTCTGGAACTTGATAAAATGATTTCAGAGTTTAACTGAGGGAGCGGATATAAAAGAATATCTAGGAATTTTGTTTAAAAATAAAGAAATTCTCTCCAGATGTAAAAAATTACAGGAACTAAAAATTTTGGATCAGGAATTAAAAAAAAATTCAGTGGAATAAGACAAGAGGTAGAGAACTATAAATTCAGCAGAACAAAATAAAGGGTAGAAATCCATATATGTATATGTGTGTATGTGTGTGTGGATATATACAGTATATGTGTGTGTGCATATTTACATATTTATATAATGTATGTGTGTGTGTGAGTATATTAGGATAAATATGGCACTTAAAAATCAATGAGCAAGAATTTGTAATGATAGCATTAGGTCAATTGATTTCCTACTGTATATATTCACTAAAAAGTCTTCCAGATGAATTAAATATCTAAGTAACTTACACACATACACAAACTTATATAAGACCAGAACAAGCTAGGGCTCTTGTTTTTGTTTTATATCGTAGGGAAGGGAAAGCCTTTCTCAGCTGACACAAAATCCAGAAGCCAGAAAAGACTGAAATATTAGAATATAGAAAAAATAAAAACCATGAAACAATAGCAACTCTTTAAAAGGCAAGTATTTTTAACCTTTTTTTTTTTTTTTTTTTGAGACAGGGTCTCATTCTATCACCCAGGCTAGAGTGCAATGGTGTGATTCCGGCTCACTGCAGCCTCGACTTCCAGGACTCAAACAATCCTCCCACCTCAGCATCCTGAATAGCTGGGGCACAGGTGCATGCCACTATGTCTTCCTACTTTTTTTTGTAGTTTTAGAAGAGAATAGGTTTCACCATGTTGCCCAGGCTGGTCTGAAACTCCTGGGCTCAAGCAATCCACCTGCCTCCCAAAGTCCTATTATTACAGACATGAGCCAACTCACCCAGCCTAATCTGATGATTTCTTTGGTGCAAATACTCTTCATGGCTGATTTCAAGCTATCAACTGCTTAACAATCAGCTTGCCAAATTTCTGAAAATTAAACAATCAGCTCTTGTGAGCCAGTGCAAGCCAGCTCCAACATAACACAACAGAAAACATCTATTAAACCAAGCTTATGCTAATTATTCAACAATTTGCTCTTTTCAATTATTCAACAATTTGCTCTTTACTGCTAAGTAACTCATGTACATCTTTCCACAGAACTACGTGTATAAATCTACCTCATTCTTTCTAATCGGTACATACTATCACATAGTAAGGGTATATCATACATTGTTCAACTTTTATCCTATTGATAAGCATTTAGGTATTTAGGTGTTTTACAATATTTGTCTTTGTTCTGTGTGTGTGTGTGTGTGTGTGTATGTGTGTGTGTGTGTGTGTGTGTGTGTGTTTTAAATCCCACTGTAATTTCATCCTGATGGGGTAAAACTCAGCTTTGGCTCTCCTTGAAAGGTTTTCGATTTGATGGCTGGTGTATATGTTTAAGTAATTGTATAGCCCTTCTATTGTATTTGCTCCTGCTCCTATCCATGCAGAAGAAGAGTTGCAGGCAGGCAGAAAATAGAGACGGCTTATTTCTTTTCCAGGGCTTTTGTTTTTTTCTTTAAGCTCCAATTGTCATATTCACATTTATTTTTTTTTTTTACAAGACAGTAGCACATAGATCCTTCTTCATTCTTTTTTGCAAACAATGCAAAATGCATCCTTACCTTGTGAAAATAGATTATGAACCCACTATCATTTTAATGCTCAAATGCATGAACTTATGTGTTGAGTGTCTCCTTGTTGGATTTTCTGGGAGAAACTTTTGAATATTTGTCCAGGAAGCAGTTATCAGATATCCACCTCAGTGTGGACAGTACAGTGCTGGGAATGATGGAGCAGTACAAGATGTAACTTACATTAGAAAGACGAGACATGGCAAATGCAAAACGTTAATAAGAATCTAGTAAGCACAGCACAGTAAATTTTGGGAGAAAAGTCCTGTCTGTGTTTCTGGAACAACTCTTGTGGCCAATTTTTTTATTCATATAAATACGGGGCTTGTAAATGCTCACTGTTTTAGATGAAATCCTAAGGCTGAAGAGTAATCTGAGTGCCTCAGACTGAAACACTAAATATTCTGTTTATCCATCATTAAGACATTGTTTCAGAAGTAGCATGTAAGGGCAATTTTTAAAATATTAATTACTGATGAAACAGGACACCTACTAAATAAAATGGATTCAGGCCACAGTGCCGGGGCTGGGTCCCAGAGGACACCCCTGGGTTACACCGTGCAATTCTTCAGTTACTAGATCATAGTGAGACCCAGGAGAGAATGGAAGGATGGGAGGGACTCAGAGAAGCTCAGGGCAGTAGCTGTTTGGCTATTTCAATTTGTTTGATATACACATAATATTTACAGATGGATGTTAGTATTTTAGCACACTCTCCAATTCAAATGGAATTAAATTAGAAATTAATAACAATAAGCTATCTAGAAAAACCACTTTTCTAAATTTGAAAATTAAACAATTTCCCTTTGAATAATCCACAAGTCAAGGAAGAACTCACAGGAGAAAGAGAAATTTGGTAATATTTCAAATAGAACGACAATGAAAATAAAACATAAATATCAGTTTTACTACTTACCTGCAGTGTGACTTTTGGTAGATTACCTAGCCTTTTACAATCTCCATTGACTTATTTCCTAAGAGAAAATTATAACAGTGCCTGCCTCTAGGATTGTCAATGAAAGCCTAATGAGGAAATGTCTATAACAGTATTTTGCAGAGTACCTGACAAAAAGTGAGTTTTCAAAAAAATTTGAACCATTTTCATGACAAGCAATAGCCTCTGTTAGTTTTCTTTGGGAATAAAGAAAGGAGCCTGTTTAAGCTTTCGAGTGAAGTGAATCCGAGAAAGCCACCACATAGTGGACAAGCAGTCATGAGGTACAGCAGGCAATATGGGACAGTCACAGTGACTCAGAAAAGAAGTGACAAACAGTAACCAAGGGAAGATTTCTGGAACATATAAATATTTCTATGAGATTCTTTAAAACACCAGGGAGAGAAAAGGAATACATGCAAATGCACAGGCTGAGAAAGAGATTATTTTTATTTTGATAGGTAGGGGTAACCCCAAAAGTTCCAAAAACTTGGGGCATTTGGTTATAGATTAGGTAAGCAAAACAACAGAGTACATGGAACAGATTGAATCTGTGTGTCTGGATTTAAGGATTCAAATAAAAAAGACTATTGTGGTGGGGTAGTGTTAGAATGGGAGGTGTTACAGATGACATGAATACTATTGGGTCCTGGTAGCTGAAGAGTTTTAAAGAGAAGCATGTATAGGAGGGAGAAGGTTATTAGAAGTAGAGGAAGTGTTTCAAACTGAAGCAGGGAGGTATGATCAGCCTGTCATGGGGTATTCAGAGATGGCTGAGGTCATGAGGGAGACAGTTGGGCAGGTAACGTTAGGTCAGTGCATACAGGATATTAAGTGCCAGGAAGACTTTGAACTTGATAAATTCATATGCGATCTAGGAGGACTAAGAAATCTCCAGGAAAAGAGAGGGCAACTTGAGGCTAGACAAAATAGTGGTATCAGTAAAAACTCTCCACTTTCTTTCTCTTACTTCCTATTGATGGCTTCTTTTTCCTCCCTTGCCTGACCTTCATGCTGCTACTGGTGTCCCCATTGCTAACCCAGCCCTGGCCGGTTCCACTCATGAAAACTTCCATGCCCCTCTTTTTCTTTATGTTCTTTTGCCTTATCCTATTTCTCTATGACCTCCCTGGATGATACATTAGCTAGTCTGACAAAAATGAATCCAGGCTAACCGGTTAATGGGCAGATCTACTCTTTTTCCCAGATATAGATGGTTTTTGTTTTGTACTTAGGCGTCCTTCTAGACTCACATGCAAATTTCTATCAGAGTAGATTTTGTGGAATATATATATGCACACGCATGCACACATGCACACACACACACACACACACACACACACACACTGACTTGCTGAATATACCATGTGCATTTCAGAAGAATTTGTATTCTGATTGTTGGGTGTAAT